CTGTGAGACTTGAGCATTTAATCTTTCAGCTTTAATATTTTTGTACACTCACACTGATCCATTGTGCATGATTATACATCCAGGGAGGTTTAATAGCCTTTCTTATGAAGATCTCATTGGTAAAGCTATCTCAGATTCTTGATGCTTGCATATTGCCATATTGGGCTCAGAATTGGTTCTAGCAATTGGGGAGCAACAATGGAACGTCCCACTTCCCAGTATTAACTCCCATCAACAGTGGGAGCTATAAACTTGAGTCATCTTGGTGAACTTCACATCTTACTTTCAATTTGTTTTCTGAATAAAGCACTTCCCCTTCACCATTCTGATTTTTTTTCTACTCAATTTTTCTTTTAACATAGAACTGTTTAGATGGAAATTTGTCACATAGTGATTCCTTCTCCACCACGGATTTAATTCAAGAACCACTAAAAGAACAAGAGGTAAACAAAAGTTAAGCTTATTGTCACTGTTTGGCCGCTACCTGTAAACTAGATACTGGACAAAATCTAAAGATCTAGTCCTTCTTTGGCAGCCTTGGGGTCTAAATCATACTCTTTCTGTTTGATTGAAAATCAGATGTGATGGAAGAAAAGTGATAAATCTGTTACTCAACCTTGGTTGTAAGAGATCCAAAGTATTGAGGACCCATAGGTCTTGGTTAAATTCTTAGAAGTTTTTGGGGCGGCAGCAAGGTGGCGCAGTGAATAGAGCACCGGCCCTGAAGTCATGAGGATCTGAGTTCAAATCTGACCTCAGACCAAACACTTGACACTTGCTAGCTGTGTGACCCTGGGCAAGTCACTTAACCCCAATTGCCTAAAAAAAAAAAAAGAAGTTTTGGGGTCATGGTATTACATCAGTGTTGACTAATATTTCCAGGAAATGAGTGATTATAATAAAATAGCACTTTATGGTATTTAAAGGGCTTCCCCTTACAATAGCCCTGGTACATAATACAGAGATTATTATCATGATTTTATAGGTGAAACAACTGAGGTCCATCTGCATATAACTAGTAAGTATAAGAAATAGGCCTCAAGTTTAGTGTTCTTCCCACTATGCCATACTGTCTCTTATTATAGCCTAAGTTAAATTATAATTTTTTTAAAGTTTAGAAAAAAACTTTAACTTCGCGATTAAAATAATTTAGATGAATTTGTCTCCCTTCCCTTATTGCGTTTATAAAAAGCTGATTAAGAATTATTTTTCGGAGAAGGTACAAAGCGTTAAAGTAAAAGACCCAAAAAGTTCTGTCTGTTTCTGAAACTGAAACATGAAAGACTTAATATAATATATAAATGAAAAACAGTTCAATCAACAAGCACTTTGGTGTCTACTATGTGTCAGATACTGTTCTAATCATTAAAAATACAAGTACAAATGAATAACAGTCTCTTACCTCAAGGAGCTTAGATTCCACAGGGGAGACAAAATATATGTATATAAGGATATACTGAATATAAGATATTTTGAGAGTGAAGGCACCAGTACCTGAAGGGACCAAGAAAGACCTCCTGCAGAAAGTGCCATGTGAGCTGCGACTCGAAACTAAGGACTCTGAGAGGCAGAGGTCAGGAAGGAAAACATTCAAAACGTGGGCAACAGCCAGTACAAGGGCACAACTGGAGATGGACCATTATGTGGGAGGAAGAGCAAGCAGAACAGTATAAGTGGACCACAGTGTGTGGATGAGATGAATGTGTAAGAAGCCTAGAAGGCAGGAAAACCTTAAGTCAAAAGGAGGAATTTGTATATGATCCTAAAGGTAACGGGGAGCTACTGGAAATTATTGAGTAGGGAATGAAATAGTCAGACCTTAGTTTCAGAAAAATTACTCTGGCCACTGCGGGGATGATAGATTGTAACAGGGAGAGATCTGAGGTTAGAGTGGTCAGTTACAATCATCCAAGGGAGAGGCGGTGAGAAATTGGACTGGAGTGGTGGGCATGTGAGTGAACAGAGAGAAGAAGACAGAGGCAATAGATAGGGTATTACTTCAGAGTCAAGAAGACCAGGGTTCAGTTCTGTTCTGTGACTTTGGATATGTCACATAACTTCTTGGCCTCAGTTTTCTCATCTGTAAAATAAGGTGGTTGGTCTTGACACCCTGTAAGCTCCTTCCCTACTCTCTCTCTATGATATTATCATCTGATGATACATGTGAGAGACATTGTAGAAAGCAAAGATGCCACGAGATTTGGCAACAGATTGGCTATGTGGGTGAGTGCCAGTGAAGAGATGAGAATGACAATGAAGCTGTGAGCCTGGGTGACTGAATATATGATAGGAAGATTAATAGGAAAACTCAGGAGACAGGTGAGTTTAGAAGAAAAGGGTAATAAGAGGTATTTTTTTTTCACTAGAGACTGTTTTGCCACAAGAAATTTTGTGTTCAGGGAGTAGGAATACATGAGACACCTTTGAACTTGGAGCTTGCACGCTGGTGCACACCTCTGCTAGGTAAGCATGGATTGTTGTTACAGTCTGCCTAATCAGACATTCTCGAGGACAGAAGGTATGCTAGCATGTGTCTTTTACAATGGGGGCTAAAGCACATGTGTATTTGTATCCCTTTTAGTCAATCAATCCTCAAATATTTATTTAGACCTTATTATTCAGCTTATTTCAACAAGCATTTATTAAGCATATAAGGCATGATGCTAGGTGCCAGTTATACAAAAACAAAGAGTGATACAGATCCACTCTTCAAGGGACTCCTTTGCACTCACTATCCATTTTGTCTGGAACGTATTCCCTCCTTACCTCTGCCTCTTAGCAGCATCCCTCTCTTCAAGGTACAGCTTAAGCACCTCCTCCTACATGAAGCCTTCCCTGCCTCAGGCATTTACTAGCTGTGTGAATCTAGGCAACTTATTTAACCTCTGTTTGGCTCAGTTTCCTCAACTGTAAAATGGGGATAATAATATCACCTCTCAGGGTTGTTGTGATAATTAAATGAGATAATATTTATAATTTGCTTAGCACAGTGCCTGGCATGTAGTTGGTGCTTTATAAATACTTGCTTCCTTCCTTCTGATCTGCCCCAACAACTTGTATCCTTCCTTTCCAACTACTATATATTTATTCTGTACACACACACACACACACACACACACACGCACGCACACACACACTTCTATACTGTCTCCTCCAATAGAATATAAACTAGAGAACAGAGATTTTCATTTTTCTGTATCTGTGTCTCCAGTGCCTATGAATTAGTAGGTGTTTAATATATGCTTGTTGATTGATCTGTCAAATGATTGTAAGCCCCTTCAATAGACCTAGTAAGGCTTACTCATGAATAATGTGCTTAATTATGCAACAGACTATAAGAGAATATCCAGTTGTAAGGGAGAAAGAAATGTAAGGTGTGGTCCTGCATTCAAAGAGTTTGCAGTCTAGAAGTAGGAATCATAGGATCATAAATTTAGGTCTTAAAGATTATGTAGTTTAACCTCCTTGTTTTACAACTCAAGAAACTGAGGTCCAGAGGTCATACAAAAAGTATCAGTTGTGTAGTGCAGAAAATAACTAAATAAGTGCTGTAAGTAAAAAACAAGAGACCTTGAGGATGAGTGGTCTTAGAGGCCATCCCGTCCAACTCTTTCATTTTACAGATGAGGAAAAAGAGATTGTCTATGATTATATGGCTATTCAATACCTGAGGAGGGATTTAAACCTAGGTCTTCCATTCACTACATGGTGCTGCCTCTATCCCCTTAACTACATTCATACAGCCACTTCTCTTGTAGCTCTCATGGCCTCTCTTCCAGACCATTTCTGTAGCCTCTCTGTTACAATTAGCCTCCCTACCTCATCATCTCCAAAGAGTTGCCAAAGTGATTTTCCTAAATCGCAAGTCTTAATGTGTCACCTCTCTACCAACAGGCTAACATTGCTGCCAGTTACCTTGATAATCAAATAAATTCCTCCTTTCCTTGTTTAAAGGTCTTCATGACTTGACCCCTTTCCTACCTTTCCAGTCTTATTCACTTCTACTCACTCTGTGGTCTAGATATATTGTCCTACTTGGTCTTCTTCATTCACAAAACTCTTCTTCCAGTCACCATGCCTTTTTTGTTCTGCTGCCTCCCTCTTCACCTCTCCCTCATGGAAACTCTGCTTTCCTTCAAAATGCAGTCCAAATGCCACCTTTTTCAGTTGGTCCCCCCTCTCCCAGGCTGCTAGTCCTTTCCCAGTCAAGGTTACCTTGTGTCTGCAGTGTGTCTTATATATAATGATATACTGTGTGTTCCTGTTGTCTCTCTTGTTAATTCTTTGAGAGAAGGGACTTCACTTTTATTTTTGTAATCTCATTGGTTAGCATAGTGCCTGGAATGTAGTAGATATTTAAATGCTTATTGATTTATTCTTTACCAGATACCTGAGCAAAAGATCATCAAAGAGCGTTTAAGGCATCTTCAAGGACCATTCTATGAGACGAAGGTGGAGACATTTCTAGGGACTTTTGATAGATTATATTCAACCAAGTTGGCTTCTGAGAATTGCAAATTAACCTTGCATAATTTTTCTGCAGTTAGTTTTTAAAAAATACTTTGTTAAATTTTCCCGGGCAAACTTTGGTTCAAGAAGTATCAGTTTATATAGAGTGTATTTATACTAACCAACAGGTTGAATAGTCAAGCAGATCTATGGTCAGCCAGGTGTGGGGGGCTGCCTTTTTCAAGGTAGGAAAAACATTTGAGGTCTTCAGAAAAGACCAACTACTGTCTAGATGGTATTACTTCTTCCACCCTTCCCTCTGCTCCTGTACATTCACCTGGAGTAGAGTTGGTATTCCACTTTGGCACATAGGACTATTCTCATGGCTTTCTTAAGAACTCTAGTCAACAGCCTGCTGCTGAATATAATCTTTTTTGCACTACAGTAATGATGTAGTTAGTTTTTTAATGATGTAGTTAGTAGGTATTAAATTTGTAGTGTTATTTTTAAGAAGTTGATATTTATTTTCATGTATGCCAATTAAAATACAGATGCCTTACAACTAGACAGCTTAACAAAGACATCAAGGCTGAATAAAGCAAATCTCTCATGTATATCAAACGGAGTCCATTTTTCATCTGAAAGATCAGACTATGGAGAAGTGAAAGATGAGTCTGCTTTGGACATAACACTCAAAGGACACAAGTAAGACAACAAATGATGAGCTGAATATGTCATTGAACAGCAATGAGATGTTTAGAGGTCTGGCAGAGTAATGTTTTTCTCCTCAACTTTTTTTTTTGGTAGCAATATAAGTTCTCTAATTTCTAACAAATTAACCTTTTTAAAATAGAAATCAATTTCGACATTTCTCTACAACTAGTACAATGTTTTGCACATAGTAGGTATTACAGAAAGATTTGTTGAACTGATATCAAGTAGTATACTTTCTCTCTCAACATGCATTTCAAAATTTCAAAAGCAAATTGGCCTACTTAAAATGTTTCCTGTTGTTCCAAAACTACCAGTTCACTTGATCAAACTGAGTAATTGTTTCTGCTGTCAATTCCTAAGAAAGGCAGTGTTAGCTTTTGAAGTCTTCTCTGATCCATATTCCTACTAGAATCTGAGCGCTTGTCTGGTTTAAATGACTAACTTCTCCTAGACTCAGAAATTTAGTTACATTGCTGGCCATTGTCTTCCCTAAAGATGCTTCACTTCAGCAGCCAAGAGGGAGGAAGCAAGGTTTTGAATTGCAAACTCTTTATTTTCATTTTCACCTGTCATCTCTGTGGCTTGTCAGCTTTAGTTGACAGGTTTGGGAACGTTTTTGCATAATGCTTCATCCTTCAGGATTTAGAGAATTTAAAGTGCGGCTATTTTATAATTTAGGATGCTGTCAAAGACATGTATCTATTCCTAGTTTAAATACAAGAGGAGAACGTACAATTTCTTACTTTTAAATATTCAATTCTAACTTTTACTGCTAGGTGCTCAGTCATCTCAGTTGGTGTCCAGACAATTGCATATTTTCTTGTTTCCACCACAATGGACGATCTATGTGTGAAGGTGAGTATTAGACCAATCTTCTGTCCTTTTCTGCGGTTTGTCTTAACCTGTTGTTGCCTTTATGAGTATTTATTGGTTTAGTATTATAGATACATAAAAAAAAAAGGAAAACTACTTGGTGTCTACTCTCTAGTTCATATTGAACTTAATAATCATTTAAATAGACAAAAATTAATCTAGTGCCTATAATATGGCCAGCACGTGTTAAACATTTTACTGGAGACAGACACCAATGATCTAAATAGCAGGCAAAATTGAAGAGAAGAATTTAACTATGTGCAATTGATACTTAGTGAAATAGTTGTTCCAAGAAAAGGGACAAGTAGAACCTCAGAAGAAGCTTCATGAGGAAAGTGGGTCATGAGCTAGGCCTTAAAAAATATGTAGGGGGCAGATAGGTGGTACAGTGGACAGAGGACTGGCCCTGGAATCAGGAGGACCTGAGTTCAAATCTAGCCTCAGACACTTGATATTTACTAGCTGCGTGACTCTGGGCAAGTCACTTAACCCCAAATGTCTCACCAAAAAGCAAAAAAAAAAAAAAAATGTAGGATTATATGTATATGTGTTGGGGGGGAAGACAGTATGAAGACAGGTAAAGAAGTAAAAATGATCATGGCACGCATGGGGGGCAGGGGAGCATTTTTTTCCTCTGTTTTACTAGAGCACAGGAGGAGGGAGTATGTTGGAGAGTGACAGGAAATAGTTAAATGGATACAGTGGGGTCAGAGCATGGAGACATTTGAAAGCTATTAATTGATGATATAGGAAATAATAAGCCATTGTAGGTTCTTGATCAGAAAAGTGACATGAAATAAGTAGCATTTTGGGAAAATTAGTCTGGCATTAGTATACAGCATAAACTGAAAGGAAGAAAATCAAAGCATTTAGGATAAATTAGATCAGTGGCTTCAAGAATACAGAGGAAAGGGGCGGGGGGGAATCCTAAAGACATTTCCAAAGAAGGAACAACAGAACTTGGTAGTGAATTTTATATAAGTGATGAAGTTGAGGATTGATTTGAGAGTCTCCACTGTTTTCTCATCTGGGAGACTGGAAGAGCAGTGCTACTGCTCACTGAAGTAGGAAGTAATTATACCTTTCTTCTCTGAGAAAGAGTGAGTGGGAGGGAGAGAGACAGAAAGAGAAGATAGGGTAGGGAGTGGAGAGAAACAGAGAAGAGAGAGAAAGAGAAAGACAGAAAAAGAGAAAGAAGATAGAAGAAGCAGGGAGACAGAGAGAAAGAGAAAGAAAAAGGGAGAGACAGAGGGAGAGGTAGAGAATGAGAATGTGGATATTAATTTTGGAGATTCTGATGAGAAGCCTGGCGAACCTATTTTCAGTTTTAGAGCAGACTCCTTTGGCCTTCAGTTTACTTGGCTTTGTTGGTACTTAGATGGCTATGGTGAGACCATATAGTGGAGGAATTTGAAATTCTTCATAATCATCAAAACCTGGAAGGTTTCTGAGGCACCCTGTGGCTTGTTGGGGTTAAAGCTAAGCAGCCTTCTGGAAGATGGCTGTTTTTCAAGGTCACAGCAAAGAATATTGGGCTGAAAAGGAACTTTGCAGCTTGAGCAAAGCTCTGCTTTTTTGGATAAGAAAACAATACTAAGAGTTGTGAAAAGGATGTGGTGGGATCTGTTGCTTACATACCAGGGGATCTGGTGAAGAAATGTGAGCTCCTTGAGGTTAGGGACTGTTTTTACCTTCTTTGTATCCTTACCCCTTGGCACAGTTCCTGTGTATAGTAAGTACTTATTATATGCTTGAAAGCTGAAATTCTTCCCTTTCCCAAACTTCCCTAATTTCTGTAGAAAGCACCAGCGTCCTTTTAGTATCCCGTATTTGTAAACTCAGCATTATCCTGAATCATTCATTCTTCCTTATCCTGCATATCTAATTATTTCCCAAAGCTTGCCATTCCTGCAGCCTGCCTCACATCTGACCCCTTCTTTCCGCTCCCATAGCTACTACCTCAGTTCAGGTCCTCATCACCTTTCGTCTAGATCAGTGAAACAGTCTCCTAGGTGGTTTCCCTCACTCGAGTCTTTCCCCAATCCAGTGCATATGGCATAGTGGTGCCAAAATAATTTTCCTCAAGCTCACATCTGACCTTGTGAATCCCCTACTCCAATAAGTCCAGAGCCTTCCTATTTTCTGTAGGATAAACAATAAATTCAGTTTAGCTTTTAAAACTCTTAACAACATGGCCCCATCCTGTCTTTTCAGATTCATTGGGTATTATTCTTCTTCCCACATTCTTCAATCTAGCCAAACTGGCTTTCACTTTGTTCCGCATATGTGACACTCCATCTTCCATCTCGGAGTCTTTGCAGTGGTGGACCCTCATGCCCGGAATATACTCCTTCATTAACTCCACTTAACAGAGTCCTCTTCCTTTAAGATACAGCTCATATATCATCTTCTACATGAAGCCTTTACTAATTTCCCCAACCAATAGTACCCTCCCTTTACCTTGTGTCTAACTGCTTTGGATATATTTGTATTTGCCCACTTTATGTTTATGCTGTGTATATTTATATATGAATTTGGTATTTGCCCCCATTATAAGATCATTGCAAGTGGATACTGTTTGATTTCCAGCACCTGTATGTACAGCACCTAGCACAGTGATTGGTAGATAATAGGCACTTAGTAAACACTCGCCACTTGGTTGGTTGATTGATTCATCAAGGATGCTCTTGACATATATGTAGATTTTTTCATAAAGATCTTGTAGAAATGTGTAGGTAAGCAAATAAGTTGATAGATATTGAGACTTTCTGGATCACTTTTTTTCATTAGTAAAAACGTCTGGGATTTTTGTTCAGTGTTTAGTATTTTCCTTTATTTCAGATACCTTGAGAGTTCAACTCAGCACTCTCAAAACTGTTTTGCTTCCACTATGGAGCTCCTCTATGAATACTGTGACACTTCCAATCTTATTTTCCTTTTTCTGCCATTTCTATTTACACATGTGCCACATTAGTAATCATAATGTAACAATCCAAATACGGTGGCTCCACAGTCATTGATGGAGAAAATCTTGTTTAAAACTCTTAGCTAACCTTTTCCATTTTTTGTTTATTTGTTATCCTTGTAGTTTCATCCTTCAAGGCCCTCAGCCTCTTATGGCTTTACTGGATTTCTCCACAAGCTTTCTGTGAACTTATTTCAATACTGATCATAATTTTGTATGTAAAATTTTATAAAATTTTATGTAAATACTTATGTAAAATTTTATAAAAAGAGTTTGTTTTAAACTGATTTTTTCCTCAGGTAATGTATTTTTACATGACCCGGAGATTAAATTTTGTTGGCTGAGATAGTTTCTGGCTTCCTTTGGCCTCTTCATTGTGGCAACTGATTTAATCAGATTATCATCCTTAGAAATTAGCACGTGTTAACATCTGTTCTTTTCTCCATGTCCTATTTTGGGTAGCTTATAAATAAGTCAAGTTGGAGCTGCTTCAGTGTTCTGTCTTCTCATTTTTATTTCTTCTAATTTAGTATTGATTTTGGTGTTCATTCTAAGTCAATGATCTGGCTGTACACAGAGAAATAATTCAGAAATGACTTCTACGTTGATAACCAGTCATTTGCTGCCTGTTAAGATATAGTTAGTAAATGTACCTTTCAAGTGATTAATATCATAAAGCATTCCTGACACATGGGCATGGATCTATTGTGTAGTCTATAAACATTTGGCCACTTGCACTTCTTTATCCTGAGCCATATTTTCTAAAATATTTTTCACTATACTCCCCTATACCCACCTGTTCATTGAAGTCACTGAATCTTAAAAGTGTTTTTTAAATATAATTAGAAATGTCTAACTGAGTTTTTCAAAGAGGTTCTCTACAGTCTTATACTCTGCAACAAATGTATAATAATCTAGAATTATCAAGATGCTGGTCTTTTAATACATACTTGTTAAGATCAATGTGATATGAGATGACTGTCCCATGAAATGTTTATTTTTTGCTTTTACACAATAAGTACTTTATTTGCCTCTCCTACACAAACATGTGAACCATCCATTTAGCATCAGTTACCTTTTATCTTTCAGCTTGCTAAACAGTAAGAGTATCAAGATTTATATTATTCAGTTCCACTAGTAGAAAATTATCGGTTATTGGACAAAGACGTTATATTTAGAGTACCAGAACTTGATGTTAAAAGGCTGTAAAAACTATTTGATGCTTTAGCATTTGCCTTCCTGCACACCAGCCTGCCATAGTCATTGAAAAAGCAGAAGAGAACTAAAAGGAGTGAGGATAATTTCCCATTTTTCTTTGTTTCATTAATTACCATGGCCAAAAAAATTTATGACCGAGTGTCTAGCCCACTAGTGGTAAGTTTTGTGTTCTTAGCCAGGATGATAAAAATGGTTTATAGCACCTGAAGGTTTAAAAAAGACTTTGCATACATTCTCATTTGATCCTCACAACAACCTTGTGAAGTAGGAATTGTTATCCCCATTTTATATTTGAGGACTCTGAGGCTTATATTAAGTGCCTAGCCCATCACCACCCAGTTAGTAAGTGACAAGAGATAGGATTGGAAAGAAGATCTCCCCTGACTTGAAGCCCAGTACTCATTCTTTTATACCTTACAATTTCCATTACTCATAGATACTTTGAGGGTGTTATTTGGCTTAAAAATATGGAATTTAATAATTCCAAAGATGATTTCCTGATTGCCAGGGTACTTGATTTGAACTCCCAACTCCAGGCATTTTTATTAGCTGTCCCTCATGGTTGGAATGTTCTTCCTTCTCACTGTTGCCTCCTGGTTACCTTAGTTTCTTCAAGTCAAAGCAAAAATTCCACTTTCTACAGGAAGACTTTCATGATTCCAGTTAATTCTCATTATAGTTTATCCTGTAGATAGGTTGTTTTTCGTAGTTGTTTGCATGTTTTCTCCCCCATCAAACTGTGAGCTCCTTGTGGGCAGGGGCTATGTTTTTCTTTGTATTCCCAACAGATAGCACAATG